GTAACTGTATAAGTTAAATCAGTTTCAGAGAAGACAAGGTAATTGAGCAGATGGATTTTAATACAGATAAATGTGAAGCAACAGTGCTGAAGAAGTGTCAACTGACAAGAAGAAAAAGAAAAGAGTTTTGATGTGGATTTCTGATTTTCATTGAAGCTATCCTGTCAACTTGAAGTTGCTGTCAAAATGAATCAAAGGCTTAGGATACATCTTGGGGGCATTTGCTTATATGTCAAAATAAATGATTCAGACCTTATTTAAATCACCCTTGACAATATACTTAAAAAATGTAGTGGTTTTGGCACTCTACTTTCAAAAAGACACTGATGCATAGATAATGTTCGAAAAAAAGAAGCCATAATGGTGACTCCTGGACCCTTGGGTGTAAATTGTGAGACAGACTCGAAGAACCTGTTTTTGTGGAGAAAACTATTTTATGGTGGGAGATGAACATGATCCATATCTTTTAGATGTTGAAAGGATAGATCAAAACATATAAATACGCAATTTGCTATGGTTTGTGAGTGCCAACGAGAGATCTGTTCAAAATTAAAAGGTACAAACTACCTTTCTGAGCACTTGTCATATGTAGCTCAGGTCGTAGCACCCTGACCCCTGGGTTGTGGGTTCAAGACCTGAGCTACTAATCTCGTCTGACATTCTAGTTCAGTACTTTGTGAGTGCCAACCACAGGAGTAGGGTTTGAAATGAAACACCAAGTACCTTTCTGAGCACATGTCATGTGTGGCTCAGGTGGTAGCTCTCTCATTTCTGGGTTGTGGGTTGAAAACCTGAGCTGCAAATCTAGTCTGACATTCTCGTTCAGTAGTGCAGTGCATTGCTGTGACTTGGTCTTTCAAGAGCTAACTGCCTGATCTGGTGGTTCACATGGAAATTAAAGACCTTATGGTATTATTTTGAAGCAGAGAAGGGAATTCTATTGGTGTCCTGACTAATATTTCAATTTATCCTTATCCCAATTTACAAAAACACAATTGGATTAAGCTCTTTCCTCTTTTTGCAGGTTGGTTGCTGCATATGCTGACTTAATCATTACTTTTGAATTAAATGAGTGTGTGAAGCACCTTGAGACATTTTAGCATGATAAAACTCTACATCAAATGCAAGTACTTAATTATTTTGAATCAGTTAAAATGCAAAAAGGAAACCTCTATGAACTTTAACTTTTATTTTGGCATTTGTGGTGTAAATGTTGCTGTTCTGCTTGATCTTATCTTAAGCAAGCTAACAATGCTTCTAGAATGGCTTTGTTTACAGCACCTTGAATTACAGCAAGCTTGATTACAGTAGTGTGAAGTGCAGCGTGTCGCACAAAGCAATGTTAAGTGGGAATTTCAGTGAACCTGCATAGAGAATACAGTCAAGTGGGACGTTCAGTGAACCAACACAAGATTACAGTAGCATTGTCAAGTACTTTGAGACATCCTCTCAATGTGAAAGGCACTATACAACAAAAACAAATTGCATTTATAAAGCAATATATATAAATGTGAATTGTATTGCGTTAGTTGTCTACACTTTCACAAATATTTTGAAAACTTTTTTTTGAGTTTGCGACTGCTCCTATCATATTCTCAGAAAGCTAATGATAAAAATAATCCTTGCGTTTGATAAGGCACTTTTCACGTGTTCTAGGAGTCTCAAAGCGCTTCGCAGAATACACTGTAAATTGAATTGACTATATTTGTGGGTGAAACGCGGCAACCAATGGGTACAGCAGTGTCCCACAGACAGTCGTGACCAATTTATTATTGTTTTTTTCTCTGGAGGGATTATTATCAGACGTGTGGAGGAAGGAAACTTGCCCAAGGTTTCATCCTACTGGGAATCAAACCTAGGTTTCTCACTTGTAAGGCGAGTGCTCTAACCACTAAGCTACAGGACTCCAATCCTGTTGCCTTCATCTTTTAACTACAGCTTGATATCTTCAAATCAGTCAAACATTTTCATAGCACTAAGTTTACATTGTCAGAGATAGTGGTCTGGAGCTGTCAGTCAGTGGTCACAGGGGACCATTCACCATCAGTGATTGAAAGGCTTCCCCTTTCAAGCTTGCTCTATGGGGGAAGACGAAAAGGTGCAGATGCACGAAAGAAAGGAGAGAATTCAACAAAAAGACAGAAGAGAATAGAAAGAGGTGGTAAGAAGGTAAATCAGAAACCACAAAATTTCATAGCAGTGGGTTTACAGTTCCAGTAGCAAAGATTCACAGGCTGCTAGATAAGAACCCTGAGGATTAAAACTCAGCACCATACTGTGGTTATTTGATTGTTTTCTTTCACTCTGTGGCCCTCATTAAGCTTCTCATTTGTCACCATTTGGCAATACCCCAAAACATCCGAATCGTGTTGAAATCGATTCCCGTGTGCTGATTCTACATGAATGGAAATGAAAATAATTTAGACTTTGAAGACCCTGATGAATGTGGCACATTTGGTGATCAAATGCAAGGAAATGCAAAGATTATCATCATATTGGAGATGAGATGCCTTTCTTGATATCAACGTGTGAAGCCGGTGACACTCAACATTATTTGACTCTGAGTTTTAGTTAAGAAGTTGATATTTTGTTAACTGGCAGTCAAAGGCTGTGATCCATACTCTGGAGTCCTGTGCACCCGGACTCACACTCACAGTTACTATTGAGAATGACTTGGGTTAGAGGCGTTTCCCACCTCGGCCACTTTCAATGTGATGAACATTGACTGGACCACTAAATTGACTCGAATATCTGCCTCCCTGATACCCACCATTATTTTCTGTGGTTTATTTACCTCCCTGAACCTGCTTCTGGTCTGATCGTGTCTTCCTGGGAGCCTAGACAAGTGGAGGAATAACTGAGATGTGGAAAAGAGGAAGGTGCATACAGGAGAGGAGAGCTGAATAGAGTGTGATTTCCCCCCCCTGTCGGACCTACTTTACTCACGTTGGCTGAGTGAATTTTCAGCAGAACATATGTTGGGTTAAAGGTGAACAATTCCAATGAATTGAGCGTTGATTAGATGAACATGGAGATGTAATGCTGAGCTACCCTCGGGTGAGTTTGTAATGCTGAATTTGCAGAGTATAAATGCTCATTAATTACAGTGGAACAGTGAGTGCCCCCTGTACTTTGCTAAGGTTATATGTGTTGGTAGAATAGTAAATACTTGCATTAATTGAGCATCCCAAGAACATATCCAAGAACTATGAAATAGCAGATACTGGAACAGAGAAGGTTTGGGTGAGTTGGAGACCTTAAAATTATGAGCGGTTTTGATAGTCGATGGGAGGAGTTTTGATAGTTGATGGTGACAACTTAATTCCACTGGTCGGAGATATCTAAAAAGGAGTAATTTGCAGGGGATAAGGAGGAAATAATATAATCCTGACATTTGATATTGTGCCTTTCATGTCAGGAGGATGTTTTACAGTATTTGTAGGTGAACACGGCAATCGCTTTGCGCACACCAATCTCCAGTGTGAATGACGTGAATGACCAATTGTCTCTGGGAGATTATTGGCCACGGCAAAAAGCCAGTGAATGGCCCTGGATAATTGCTTTTTCAAAGAAGTAATATTCAGGGCTGAATAGCTACATTCTGTGCTGTAAAAGTCTCTAGTTCCATGGCCATTATCATTTTTTTAAACGATTTTCATTCACTCTTTGATATTCCAAAATAAATCCTGATTTTTCCTGAATGTATCCTATTTTGTGGTCGAATCCCCCCCCTACACCTGATTTTCTTCTGTTTATAAACTTAGACACTTGAAAAGATCCAGCAAATAGACACTTAAAAAGACCCAAGTTTTTATTTTGAGGATAAAATCAGCCTTTAATGGCTCTTAAATGTATCCCACATTAATGTTGTGGGAAAATTATGTTTCTTACGATTTTGCTACCCTAGGCTACAGTCGTTTGTACTGACGTTCAGAATCTAGCTGTTTCTTAAGCAATTCTTTTGAAAGTATATATCTGAATAATGAAGCTGGACAGATGTTTAAGAACCCTTTCAGCAACAGCCAATTGCGCACAGCAGTGTCCCACAAACAGTTATGGATGAGTGACCAAGTTATTATTATTTATTTTAATTTGTTGAAGGGATTATTACCTACAGAAAGTGATCTGCCAATTGACTAATAACCGTGTTCCTATTTATTAAAAAGTAAGCCGAGGCGTGTGGAGTACGGCTTTGCCCTGTCCGGGAATTGAACTCATGTCCTCTTGCTTGCGAAGCGAGTTTCTAACCAATATGTTACAGGACTCCACGATTCCTTTTCACACAAAATGAACATTTTGTAGAACATAAATGTATGGGGAGAAATTCCACCTGAGCCTAGATTTGCATTATTTATATAGCATTTTACTGTATTTAGTGGAGAATTTGGCATATTGTAGAATTTTGAAGCTGGTTTTCTGTAGTTCATGAAAGAACTTACAGAAAACCCATTTTAAAATTAAAGACTGCATTTAAGAATTTCTGAAATGTTATATGCTGTGAAATGCTACATAAATAGACCCAGGTGAAATTTCTCCTCGATAATGAGGTTCACCGAGAAGGGAGATTTAAGTGTGTGCGTGAACCAAAAACACGGTCCAACAGATGTTTTTTAGGACAGTTTTGAAAGCAATATGGAGGATTGAAAGTACAGAGAGAGAAAGCAAGGCAATGAGTACAGGAACAAGAATAGGAGTAGAAGAATTTGCGTAGGTTGGGAAGGGTGAGACATTGATGGAAATTGAAGGTCATGAAGGATCTTGAAGTCAATCTGGTGAGTACTGGGAGCCAGTGGAGCTTGGTGAGGATTGGAGTCATGGGTATGTAGCTTAATGCGGGCTGCAGAGTTTTGAATGATCGCATCTCATAAATGTGGCGCTGGGAAGGGGGGTGAGGAAAGCATTGGAAGCGCCTATCCTTGAGGTGAAAATGAGAAACGTAATTGACTTTCTCAATATTGATTTAAAACTAATAATAACACTATTTAATCTTTTCTTCACAGATCATTGATATGCCTGAGCATGGCCTTGGAGACACGGGAGGCACTATGCGTCTCGGGAAAAGAAGAACCCTTTTCAAGGACAAGAATTCAATACTGCGTAAGTTTCCTTTCTCATTAATAATAATCTTTGCATTTGATATAGCGCTTCTCACATCTTCTAGACGTCTCAAAGCGCTTCACAGAATATACTGTAAAGTGAATTGACTGTATATTTGTGGGCGAAACGCGGCAGCCAATTGCGCACAGCAGTGTCCCACAAACAGTCGTGGATTGAAGTGACCAATTTATTTATTTTTCTTCAGAGATTATTATTAGGGATGTGGAATAAGGAAACTTGCCCAAGGTTTTGTCCTGCTGGGAATCATTCTCACTACATTACAACTTTGGAATATGTGTTTTTTTGGGAGGACCTTTAAAATAGAAATAAAGAGTGACAAGCGTTGTACAGCAGCATTGTGGCTGGGAATCCGGTATCTCATACATGGTGTGGAGTGATCTTGGTTTACCGAATGGTGAATTCATGATCTCATATGCAACAACAACTGAGAAGAGATGCAGAATGCATAGGCCATGTCTTCCAGAAATGGGAGAAATATTTAAAAGACAAGTCAGTCAGAATACTATTTCTTATCTTTTGAGTGCTAGTCTCATTGCCAGAGATTGATGGATGGTCTGAAAGTTAGGTCACTTGCTACCTACCCACCTCTAGGACTTGGGAGGCGGGCCTAAAGAGACAAATAAAGGGGAGACGCTGCAAAGAGTTAATAGCTGCAAATGCTCAAAAGGTAAGCAGTGGAGATGCATCTTTTAGCACACTTGGAAGTTTCAAGCACCAGCTAAGTTACATCTTTTAAATATTGACCTCAATCAGACACACCCTTGGAGATTCTATCAAAGATTACCTGCATACTGCAGCATGAATGTGATGGAAGGTTATAAGTGAGGTATTAGGCTGGGGAGAGGGCTCAGTGAACTGTTGTGGGACTCTTCCCATTCCTTGTCTACATTAATAAGCTGGTTTTGCAGACTCACTATCAGGAAGGTAAATTCACTTTATTCTTGGTTTCTCTTTCCCACTGGAAGGACACATCCTGCTTACCTAATTCCAGGAAGTACTTGGCACAGGTTGCAAGAGCTAAGGCTTGGGGAGCCCAGAGTGTGTCTTGGGGTACATCCCAAATTGGAGGGAAACTGGAATCAGAGCGTAGGTATTCCTTCAAAGAGAGATTGATAGGCTATGCACATGGGCTGATCACTGACAAATTAAGTTCAATTCAGATAAATGGAAGTTACAACATATATCATGGGAGTTATAGAACTTGCCAAGAAAAAGGATGAAAGGCCTAAGGATGTTGGCTCATTTATCATTACTCACCATGTCAAAATAGTGTGAGGCAACAATAAACAAAGCAAAAAGAATGCTGGACTATATTACCAAATTAGTTGAGGTCAGATCCCCAGAAGTCATTAATTAAGCTTTTCAGTGCTTTAGTCAGGCTGCACATAGTTCTCGTCACCATGACATAAGGGCAGTCCAGACCCTTGAGACTTGGGACGTCCTCCTGACGTGAAAGGCGCTCTATAAATGGAATCTTGTTGTTGTTGTTGTTGTTGAGGCATTGCAGAGGACAGCAATGAAGCTAATTGGAATAAACTATAAGCAACAATCAATTTATTGGGCATCACAAAGGTAACCGAATTTTATCTCTATAAGTGTTAACTATACTGTTGCCTGTTTGCTTGGTTTGGGAGTTAAATCTGGTGTCAAAATTTTTTGGGGAAAAGATGACTTTTTAAAATAAAATTGTTAAATTTGTTATGCTTCTTTTGGGAATATATGAGGCATCAATTTCTGAAATACGTGTGTGACTGTATGGTACACTGCTTTTCATTCCTGATGTTGGGCTCTGTAATTGTCACAGCCCAATCGTAGAATGTAAAGCCAAGGGCACTGAATGCACAGGTTGTGAATTCCTCAAATTTTATGCACCTCGAAGGCTTAAATTTACTAAGAATATACATGCACTTTATCCTGACATGAATATTATTTTGAGTTCTTTTGTTCGTGATAATCAAGATAACTGTTAAGTGTCAGCCCGGCTCAGTTGGTAGCAATCTTGCCTCTGAGACAGAAAGTTGTGGGTTTAAGATGAACAATGAGACTTGGTCTTATAGTCGAGGTTGATATTCCATAATCGCTGCATTATCAGGAGAATGTTGTGACAGGTGTCAGCTTTTGAATGAATTGGTAAACCCCCTGCCTGTTCGGGTGGAGATTAAAGATCTCATGACACAATTCAAAAAGAGAAGAGAGATTCTCCCAGTGTTTTGGCTCTCAATCCTTACTTCAAAATATAAATATTAATAATACTTTAATAATAATGATTCTTACATCTGCTTAATGGTTGTGAGGTCTCAATGTTTCATGTGCTTCAGATGTAGTTACTGTATATTTGAGGGCAAACATGGTTGTTTAAAGGACCTTGCTGTATGTAAAATGACTGCTATGAAATAATAATACTAATCTTTGCACCTGATATTGCGCCTTATTGTGTCGCTGAGACGTCTCAAGAATATACTGCAAAGTGGATTGACTGTGTATTTTGTGGGTGAAATGCAGCAGCCAGTTGTGCACAGCAGTGTCCCACAAACACTGCTGTGCGCAATTGAGTGACCAATATAGCAATAAAGAATCAACTTCACTTCTCAGCTTTCCAAGATGATACCCAGGGCGTTATATAAATGCAAGTTGTTGTGGTTGCTGTTCACGACAATGACCTGTGAAGTTCAACAAGATGAGCATTAAGTTGTATGTAAGAATTCATTGTTATTATTAAGAGTCAGGTATCTGGTGTGGAATTGAACAATGTTCTGCTTTTTGTACACAGTGTTCACATCAAACACTCCTACGCCATGACTTGTAAGTGAGACAGGTGAATGGTAAAGCTCCTTAAAATCTGCTCCAGCAATCATATGAAAATGAAACTGGTTCACTTCTCATTCCATAAAGATGTTCTGTCACCTCAGTGCAATCACTGTGAACGGAGCTAAGACAATATCTACGCATTCGAATTCTGAGGCAGGATAGATTCTCGTATCAGATTGCCGTAGCAACCTGCTCACAACCAATTCCTCTACCACTCCCCCCCCTTGTTTATTGACATTTCCCTCTTCTCCCCCCCGCTCAGGATCAAACTCTGTTATTGTTCAGCACTCTGAGACTACCTCAGGTGAAGAGCACTGTAGCTTTTGAATGAATTGGTAAACCCCCTGCCTGTTCGGGTGGAGATTAAAGATCTCATGACACAATTCAAAAAGAGAAGAGATTTTCCCAGTGTTTGGGCTCTCAATCTCAAGTTGTGGTTGTTGTTGCTCTTCAGAGTTTGGGTTTAAACAATGCATTTAAAAAAAACTATGATTGTCATTTAGAAAAGAGGCAACGAAAGAACTGTGAGTAATTTTTGAATTTGTCAATAGAGGGTGCTGCATTATAATATTTTCATGGCGTCTGTTCCAATCTGTGTGTGAGTGTTGCCATGAGATCAAGTTATAGTTCTCAGTCTTGAAATTTGTTTACTGACCTTGGTGGTATGCACATACAATGAAGTCCTGTAGCTCAGTGGTTAGAGAACTCACCTCGCAAGTGGGAGACCTGACAGGGTGAAACGTTGGGCAAGTTTCCTTACTCCACACGCCTCTGTTTACCTAGGAGTAAGTAGGAACCCAGTTGTTAGTCGATTGACAGCTCGCTCTTCCTGGGATAATAATTCCTTAAAAAAAATAAGTAAATAATAAATTGGCAACTTAATCCGCGACTGTTTGTGGGACACTGCTGTGCATAATTGGCTGCCGCGTTTTGCCCACGGAATATACAGTCAATTCACTTTACAGTATATTCTACGCTTTGAGATGTCTGAAAGATGTGTTAAGGTACTATAATTATTATTATTAATGGGCAAAATTCCATTCTAAACACATGCAACCAAGGTTGCAAATGGATTCACAAGCAGAGAACTAATGCCTTTGATTTGTGCCAACATAGGTACAGAAATACAGTTTAATAATAATTATTTCATTTGATTAGTGCCTTATTATGTTGAAACATCTCAAAGTGTTTCACAGGATATTACTGTTGAATGCAGTTGTTGTATTTTATAGGTGAATGTGGCAGTTGAAGAGGAAAGTTTTCAGGCGTGACTTGAAAGTGGGGAGAGAGGGGGCAAGGCGGAGGGATTGAGGGAGAGTGTTCCAGAGTTTTGGGGCGTAGTGGCTGAAAGCGCGATCTCCGATGGTGGGGCGGAGGGTGCAAGGACATTGATAGCCAGGACATGGGGAGAAACTCCTTTCTCTTTTCAAATAGTGCCATGGATACCTCAGTGAATTGTGCACAGAAAAAAAAATTTGTAAGCAAAAAATTAAAATTGTGCAAAATTACAATTTATTTTACAATGTAAGTACAGGATAATACTATTATAGCCTCTTTAGAAAAATCTGGAAGCCATTTTTCATGAATATTATATTTGTATCGTATATTTATAAAGCATATTTTTGAATTAGCTATATTTATGAGTCATGCCTCCTGCTCTGGCTCTCTTCTCATCGCTCCAGTTTATGTTTATATAACATAAATGTAATTTATAGAATTACATATAAAAAATAAATAGAAAATAATTCTCCATTCATAAATATATTCTATTTCTTTGCATTCTAATTTTCATGCAATATCTTAATATGAAACTTATTAATCGTGAAAGCATGTGGGCACATAATTGTGTAATTTCTTGCTGTGTAGCCATGGGAACTTTAATGTCCAGCTGAAGAGGCAGACTGGATCTCAATTTAATGTCTTATCCAAAGAAACAAAAAAGCACTTTCACAAAAGAGCAGAAGGTATGAGTCATACAAGATGAAAGGTAGAGGGGGAGTTATGAGGCATCCAATGCACCACCGGCACTGTATTGTAGTTTCAGCTCATAATTCTTGCAAAATAAAAATAATTATTTTACTCATTCATCTATTCTGATGTCTACAATGTGTACCCTCCACGTTTTTAGGAAACAGCTATAACTAGGTGGGTAATGTTCCCTGCATGTCTCT